AGATCTCTGAGTTTTGAGTCAGGAGTAATCCCTGAGCACCATCAGGTATGCCCCCAACCCACAAAAAGTAATTCCTCTTGGGCCAAAGGGATGGGTTGGACCACAAATTTTGTACCCAAGAGACCCAAGTCCCATCACTAGCGCTGCATACATGGTTCCCCAGAGCACAGAGCCAGGAGTAGTTCCTGAGTACCACTAGGTGTACCCCCCACCAAAAAAATAAAGAAAAGAAAAAAGAAATAAAGAGCAGTAAAAGAAAAATGAAGAAGAAATTCCTCTTTCTGTCTCAGGACTCAACCTCAGAACAAGTAGAGGAGTGAAACGTGTGGTTCTCGCTCCTGCCATGTTGCATCCCAGAGGGCACTCACAAGAACCTCCTCCCTTCTGGAACTTCCTCCCCAACTCTCCCTCAGACTTGAGAGACCACATCAAAGCCCATTTTCCGAACCCTCCCTCCATCCCCGATGCCGGTTGCTAACACCATTTCTGCTTCTAAGAGCAGCCGGCAGTACTTCACGGCCTTTCTTCAACGGCTGAGTCTTGGTTTTGTACCCCAGACAGTCTGTGACTCCTGGAGGCAGAATATGCTGGACACATGTCTGAGTGGACGAGCTGAACTTAAGCTGAGCTTCCACAAATACTTTCTTCCCGTGAGTCCCTCCCGCCCCTTCACTTCAGGTACTTTCAACCTCACCCTCTCTGACAGCACCAAGGACTCCTGTCCTGTTGCTTTTATTTTTGCTTTCTCAACCACACCAGCAATGCTCATGGCTTATTCCTTGCAGTGCTTGGGGGCCACATGAGATGCCAGTGATCAAACCTGGGGTGGCTGCGTGGAAGTGAGCACCTGTACCCTCTCTACTATTCGCTTGGCCCCAGGACTCCTAAAGAACTTACTGGTCTTCCCAGCTTCTCTCTACTCCAACCCCAGGTTGGAGCCTTTCTTGTGCTCAGGATATTTATCACAAGACTAAATCCAAAGCTGAGACTGAATAATGTTGCACTAAATCTCTTTTACTTATTTCACCCAATTTTTTTTTGAGGCACTGGGGATTGAGCCCAGGTTCCATGCATACAAGGCATGTGCTTTACCACTGAACCACATCACTGATTCTGTTGTGCTATTTAAAAGGGGAAAAAAAGACTTTCTGTCCACAATACAAAACAATAGCATTAGTTATTCTAAAAAAATTTTTAAAAAAAGAAACCTAAGTAACCAAAATAACCAACAGTAAGGATTCCACCGACCTAATTATAATGAAGCGTGATGAAATGTTCTGTTACCAATCTAAATAAACAGGAGCTATGAATAACAAGACAGAAAACTTTTTGTGAAATGTCATTAAGCCAAGAAAGTGAGGCATAGCAATGTGTCCACACTGACTCTAGCTGTGGTCATCAACACGCACTGACCTCTCAGCACTTCATATACCTCATCCCACCTGATTCTTCCAACTATCTGAATCAGGTGCTTGAACCCCACTTTCCCAGATGAGAAGATAGGTTTGTGAAAACCCTGTGCTCCCAGTACTATAGGCCTACGGGCATTGAGTGGAACACCCATGGTCCATGATGATGCTGTGACTCTCAAGAGCTGAAATCCCACTGAAAGGAGATCACGAGGATCTCCTTTCATGTGCAAGCCAGCAAGCTATCAGACCCTTGCATCTCCCACTATTTGCCCCTCAGAAGTGATGGGGGCAGCTGGTAGACTGGGGTCCCACCATGAGTGCCCTGTCCAAATCTCCCCTCTCCTCTGCTGCTTGTTTCTGAGCACACCATGTGTCTACTTGGAGGTCAGCAACCCACAACCCAAGTTCTTTACCGTGCCTTTCTGTTGCCTTCCAGCAAAATCAATGCTATGAACACAACAGTGTTCGTGGAGAAACAAAAGCTGAAAGTTCAGGCAATGGGGTGATGACTACAATTATTATTCAACAATACCTGAAAAGTAATTTGAAAATATTTTTACAGGTAAGAAGCAAAATGCCAATGACAGCATTTCCTCGGGGCAATGTAGAAAGCTGGAAAACCATCACTGAGAACTTGCTGGATCCCAGGGGGAGGCACCTGGACTGGGTAGGGGAATTTGATTTGTTCAGTCTAATGAGGCCAGCACATGGCAACAAATTCCTGTAAAATGCTCTGTGGATAGATGGATCTGTGGATGGATGGGTGGATGGGTGAATGGATGATCAGTGTATAGGTGGGTGGGTAGGTGGATAGATGTATGGATGGTTGGGTCAGTGTGTAGGTGGATGGGCAGATGGATGTATAGATTGGTACATGGATGGATGGATGGATGGATGGATGGATGGATGGATGGATGAACATCTGGACATCTGCTTTTAAGAGGATGCTCATTTGGAAGAAGTCATGGGCTGGTTCTTAGGAAAGAACACATGAGACTCAAGATTGTGTCTATGTGTATATGAGTATGTACATGACACATGAGTGCACATGACATATGCATGTGTGCGTACATTGAGGGAAGGCTAGGGAAGCTTTCAGTAGAAGCAGCAATTGAAAGCATCATAGGTGGATGCTGTGTAGAGGCAAAGGGCTGGGAAAGAAGCATGAGAAGAAGGAACTGGCCCCATGCTTCTGCCCATGCTGGGGTCAAGGCCTTGGTTGGACATGGCCATTCTCTCAGTTCTGACCCCTCTCAGGAATCCACCAGTCGGCCTGCCCAGAGTTCAGCCAGCCATCTGGGCTGCCCCAGACTCCACTGTTTTCCCCCAAGCTTAGCCTCCTTGTTGTGACTTTTCTCCTTTGCCTGAGAAGTCCAGGCTCCCTACAAACAATGTCTGCTTTCTGACCTACCCCACCATCTCCCATCCCACCCCCGCTGAGCCTGCCAGTGGCCTCTGCGATTATTCCCTGTGGTAATGTGGTAAAGGGAGGTTTGGTTTTGGTCTCCAGTTCCTGGCACAGAGCACCATAGCTCCTAAAACCTCTGAAACTTCCTGAGTGATAGGGATGAGAGGAATGCCTCTCAACCAAAGGTGAGTTTATGCTAATGAGGTTATGCTTGTAGGCCCCCAGCTAGCTTAGGGGTGGGGACTGGTTACTAGAAAGGCCTAGCTGGGATGAGAGTGTTGAAACTTTCAGACTTTACCTGGGGTGAGGAAGACAGGGTGGAGACTGAGTTCCATCACCAATGATTTAACTGTGAGATGCATAATTCTCTGGAGCTCTGTGTTTTTAAAAGTCGTTCAAGAAAATTTTGAAGCAGAGGAGGAGGTGTTTGCTCTGCAGTCCACGTAGGGGGAACTCGGGAGCCCACTGCAGTGGGGACGGTCTTGTGAGAGGGGTTCCCAGCCCTTGGAGTCAGATGCGAACTCCAGGCAGTCATGGGAACTGAAGAACTGAAGGGCCTGACAATGATGCTGAGTTGGCATCAGAGTGTTGCAGAAAGGATGTGGTGGGGAGGGGGAAGAGAATTTGCTGTGAAGGGAATTTGAGGGGAAGAGAATTTCCCTCACCAAGAGAGGAAAAGCAAGTCCTCATTCCCAGTTTTGGAGGGAGGACCCTGAGACAGAGAAGGTAAAATTATCCACCATCACATCCTGCTGGCACAGGTGGGAGGTTACAAGCTCCCCACCCCTCATGAGAAGGGGGATCCAGGCTCCCTGCTCTCTGCCCTCAGCAAGAAACCACTGAGAAGAAGATGGAGCTGCAGAGTGAAATGGGGGAGGGCTGGAGCAACAGGACAGCAGGCAGGGCTCTTACCTTGCAGGGAGACAACCTCATCCATCCCAGCAGTCCAAATGGTACCCCCGAGCCCACCAGGGGTGAACCCTAAGCACTGAGCCAGGTGTAAGCCCTGAACACCGCTCAGGGTGGCCGATACACCCTAAATAAAATGGGGGAGACCAGGATTGGTGCATGAGAGATCCGATGTGGGTTCATACCCCCTATTTCGCTGATCATTGCCAGGGTGGTCATGAATGAGTTAACCTCTCTGGACATGTTTCTTCATTCACAGGAGTGCACAAACTAGGTGGGACAAATTAAGCATCAGGTGTCAGGGAGTCACACACCTCCTGATTCAGAAAGCTCCAGTAGATAGTGACTTTTAATAATAGCAAAATGGGCACCAGAGGGAGACATGGGGTAGTAACAAAATGGGGTACAGAAAGTAAGGGGCACTTGCACGTGGCTGGCCCTGGTTCCAATCTCTGGCAGCACCTGTAGTTCCCTGAGCACCACCAGGGGTCACTCTTGAGCACCAAGCACTGTCCCACCACCGTCCCAAATGGCAAAATGTTAAATTCAGGCATTCATTAACCATTTTATATATGTGTGTATATATATATATATGCACAGACATGTGTATGTGTGTTTATATACATATTATATATGTAATGTGTATATATACCAAATATAGTATATATATATATATACATATACATGTATATATTTTTTTAATTCTTTAAAAAGTGGATGGGACGGGGGGGGGATGGGGGGGGATGCTGGGACCCATGGGGATGGATGACGGGCACTGGTGGAGGTATGGGGACTTGATCATTGTATAACTGAAACCCAAGCACAAAAATTGTAAGCCTATAACTGTACCTCATGGTTTTTCACTAATAAAAAAAAGAAAAAAAAAAGTTGCTTGAGGGGGCTGGAGCGATAGCACAGCGGGTAGGGCATTTGCCTTGCACGCAGCCAACATGGACGACACAGGTTCTATACCCAGCATCCCATATGGTCCCCTGAGCACCGCCAGGAGTGATTCCTGGGTGCATGGGCCAGGAGTAACCCCTGAGCATCGCCGGGTGTGACCCAAAAAGAAAAAAAAAGTTGCTTGGGGCTGGAGTGATAGCACAGCGGGTAGGGCATTTGCCTTGCACGCGGCCCGACCCAGGTTCGATCCCCAGCATCCCATATGGTCCCCTGAGCACGGCCAGGAGTAGTTCCTGAGTGCATGAAACAGGAGTAACCCCTGAGCATCACCGGGTGTGACCCAAAAAGCAAAAAAAAAAAAAAATTTACAGACATTATTCCCAAGAGTGGGTTATTGAGGGCTCCGGAGACCAAGACTGCTGGCCTCTCCCATCAGACCACTAAGGCACGGGAAGGAGGATCTCTTTCTTGACTAAAACTTCAGAACAGTTCGAATGCTCTTTCCTGCATGTAGCAGGTCAAAGGCTTTGTTAATTTGGTCAAAAGACAGACTGTGAGTCACAAATTCATCAACTTTTATCTTTTTGGACATATATTCTGACACCAACTTTGGGACACTTTCTACACTTTTCCATCCTCCAAAGGCAGTGCCTTTCCACGTGAGGCCTGTAACCAGCTGGAACAGACGAGTGGCAATTTCTTCACCAGAACCAGCAACTCCTACCACCACGCTGACACCCCAGCCCTTGTGGCAGGCCTCGAGCGCTGCTCTCATGACCTTCACATTACCAATGCACTCAAAGGAATAGTCCACTCCCCCACCGGTCAACTCCACAAGCACTTCCTGGATGGGCTTGCTGAACTCCTGGGGGTTAATACATTCAGAGGCTCCAAAATCCTTGGCCCTCGCAAATTTATCTTTATTGATGTCCACGCCGATGATCCGGGATGCACCAGCCACCTTACAGCCCATGATAACTGCCAGTCCAACTCCTCCCAGTCCAAAGACGGCACATGTGGAGCCAGGCTCCACCTTGGCCGTGTTCACAGCTGCGCCATAACCAGTTGAGATGCCACAGCCCAGGAGACAGACTTTGTCTGTCTAAATTAAAAAATAAAAAAATAAAAATAAATAAAAAGTTGCTTTTGAATCATTGTGAATTACAAAGCTATAAAATTATTCATTATTTGAGTTTCAGGTATACAATGTCCCAACACCAGTCCCTTCACCAGTGTCCACTTCCGTTCACCAAGTCCCCAGTTTCCCTCCAGCACTCCAGGCTACCTCTATGGCCAGCACGTTTTTCTTTTCTTCGCTTGTAGGCACAGGGTTACAAACCTGCTCCTGAAAGGGACACAAGCATCTCAGTTTACCTCCTTTCGGTACCCAGTTCTTGTCTAGAGTGAGCAGTTCCCGATATTACTGCCTCAGCGAGGGGTCACTGATCTAGCCCCCTTCTCCCAGAGGCAATATTCCTACTAAGGACCAGTTCTCCTGCTCTTCCTTTCTATTGCCTTTGGGCACTAGTTATTCCCCGACTGTGTTCTCTATGTCCTGCATATGAGCAAGATCATTCTGCGTCTGCCCCTCTTCTTCTCACTAACTTCACTCAGCCTGACACTCTCCAGATCCACCCATGTAGGAGCAAATTGCAAGACTTCACCTTTCTTACGACTCTTTATCTATAATATAGTCGTTGTATACTTTTTAGACCAAAAGGCTAGAGGACATAGACTCCATCAGACTGATATCAGGAGATGTGGCGGTGACTTCTTATGGAAATTTAAAAATTCAGAATAAACAAAACTGACCAAACCAGGTATGAAAAATAAGACCCCGAGGACTGAGTATTTTTAGAAGCACTTTGCCTGCTGTTCTCAATTCATTTCCCTAGCTCTCTGTGGGGATGAGCTTTCCAATAATTCGGCGGCTGCTCTTCACACAAACCCTCTCTGAAGGCTTATCCACAGAACCCTCCATTCCTTCCCTTTCTCGGGTATCTGAGCATCCAGCAATTTTTCCCACCTGCTTTGGCTCCGGCATTGGCCGAAGTGCTGCAACACAATGGCCACCCAGGCCCATTCTTGGTGCAAAGATCTTCTCCACCAATCAACCACTGGTCATGGGATGGGCAGTTTGCCTGAAGAGGTGGAACATATGGAGTCAGTGGTGAAAATTAGGGGAGAGGAAAAGCCAGGCAGGACCTCATCAGAGAAAAGTCGGAGAGAAACTTAGGAGGAAAAATAAAAGAGCAAGGAAGGAGTTATCTTGGAGGGGGAGTTGAAAGAGAAGGGAAGAGACCTTATCTGGGCACAGGTACTAGAAATCTGCAGCAGATTAAATATCTCCTTGAGCTAGAAAAAGTGGGCAAGGAAAGGGAGTGGGATGACTCATCCAGGCCACCCAGAAGGTTGCTTGTTTTGGTTTTTTTCCTTTCACTTGTTTGTCTTGTTTTGGTTTCAGGCCCAGGATCTCAGAGAGACTGAATTCTGAACCCAGCTTCAGATGAATCTCTTGTTCCATTTTGGCGAGTCACTGCGAAAGTCGTTCGCCAACTCTGAGAGAATGAAAGCGAAGGAAATCAATTCGAGAGGGCAAATCTTGAACCCAGGGTCCTGGCTCAACGTGTTTTCCAGCACATCAAACAGGTCTGTTGGTATCTGACGCCAGGGAGAGCCCGCGCTGATCCAACCAAGGCTTTTTGGATACACCGTGAATAAGAGCATGTGGGCTCGCATGGGGCCCGTGGTTAAGGTTAGTGTTTGTGGCAGGATGACATAGAGTGTAAGGGTTCATAAATTCAAATTCAGGACAGATGTATTTGAATAAGATGGCCATTGTAGGCTAGCCTCTGGCAAACAAATGCGGCCAGTAGGCTCTCTAGGTCCACACAAGCTAGCTTGCCCAGGCCGTGTCAGATTTCGGGGACAGGACAAGCAAGAAGCAGACAAGCACGCAAAATGCAAAGAGTTTAGCTAGGACCTGACTGACTCCCAGCTCCTGCTCTAAATCTGCAATATTGTGGTCTGGCGATCTCTATTGCACTGTAGCACTGCACCGTCCTCCCCTTGTTCGTCGATTTGCTCGAGCGGGCACCAGTAAGTCTCCACTGTGAGACTTGGTCACTGTTTTTGGCACATCGAATATGCCACAGGAAGCTTGCCAGGCTCTGCTGTGAAGGCGGGTACTCTCGGTAGCTTACCGGGCATTCCGAGAGGGATGGAGGAATCAAACCCGTGTCAGCCACACACAAGGCAAACAGCCGCTGTGCTATCGCTCCAGCGATCTCTATTACCCATTTTAAATATCTATGTCCAACTATTGAAGAATTCCATGCTAGGATGGCTCAGCAGCTTAGAGCCCTAGCACTGCAAGCCAAACTCCAGAGGCCAGAGACTGAGAGGGATCCTGGCCACAGTTCTGAGGGATTTCTTTGTTTTTTTCCTTTTTTGGGTCACACCCGGTAATGTTCAAGGGTTACTCCTGGCTCTGCACTCAGAAATCACTCCTGGGGGTGCGTGAGGGACTACTATATGGGAGGCCAGGGATCAAACCAGGTCAGTAGCATGCAAAGCAAACGCCCTACCTGCTGTACTATTGCTCCAGCCCCTCTGAGGGACTTTTTTAAAAAGGGAAAAAGAAAAAATGAAAGCATATTAACCAATTTCAAACTTAATTACAAAGTAATTAAAACTGTTCCATATACCATTGTATGACAGAAACCCAATCATGAACAACTTTGTAACTGTTTATATCATAGTGATTCAATTTTTTTAAATAAATAATTTTTAATAAAAACTGTTCAGATGCTACTAGAATAAAAACAGACACGTGGGTCAATGGGACAGAATCAAGAGCCCAGAAAGTAGAACCGTCACATTTATTCCATGATAATGAAGCAAAAATTGGACAGTGAAAGGAAAATCTCTTCAGATAATTGAATTGTGTCAGGTAACCCAGACAATCAGACATGAAAAAGAATGAAACTGATCGCTCTCAACTCCACACACAAACACAGATATGAAATTAATTAGAGACATGAAACCACAAAACACAGAGAAATTAATACAGGTAAAACATTACATGACATCAGTGTTAAAGATGTCTTTTGGTACTTTACCCCAATGTCAAAGAAAATTAAATGTTTTAATTGCACCAAATTTAAAAATCATATATATAGCAAATGAAAATATTAGCAGGACAAAAATTTATTTTACTGAGTGGAAGTAGATATTTGCATGTCAGACACCTGACAAGGGTTTAATATTAAAGGTAGATATAAGAAGCACCTGCAAGTTAGTAACGCAAAAAAAACAACCCAATCACAAATTGGACCAAAAACCTAAGTAGACACTTCCAATTATTAAAGAAATTCAATCAAAAGCACAATGAGATACCATCTCATACTTGTGAGGATGGCTTACACTATATAATAGTAACAAGCATTGGTGAGGGTGTGGTAAAATCGGAACCCGAGAACCTTTGGGAAATGTCAATTTTCTTAGTTTGTGCAGCTACTTTGTCAAACAGTATGACCCTTTCTCTGAAAACATAGAACAGAATTTATCATATAATCCTGAAATTCCAATTTTGGTTATCACCTAAAGAAAATGAAACCATTAACTTGAAAGGTTTTATCAACCCCATTGTTTACTGCATTGTTTACAACATTTAAGATATGGTAGAGGCTGAAAGGAGATAAAGCGATACGCATGACACCCTTGGAACATGTAAGACTGAAACCCAGTCGTGAACAATTTTGTAACTGTATCTCACTTTGATTCAATTAAAAAGGGGGAAGATAAAAAAAACTGTGAACATTGACAACAAAACTGAAGATACCAAAGGAAAAGAGGAGAGGGCTGGGAGCAAGGGTGGAATTTCTAATAAATGGAGAGCAGTTTTGTTCTGCTTTGCTTTGATTTAATAAAAACTGAAACAGGACAGGGGCTGGAGAGACAGTGGAGGGGTTAAGGTCCTGTTTGCCTTGCATACAGTTGATCCTGCGTCAATCCTCATTACCATGTGGCCCCCAAGTACTGCCCACAACACTGAACTGAGAGTGGCTCCTGAGCACTGCCCAGTGTGGACAAAATGCAAAATAAGTATATTTGTTAATCAATGTTTTTTAAAAATAAAATGTCCGTTAAAAGATTAATCAGAGAGGGGCTGGAGCAATAGCACTGCAGGTAGGGTGTTTGCCTTCCATGCAGCCAACCTGGGTTCGACCCAGGTTCGATTCCCAGCATCCCATATGGTCCCCCAAGCACCGCCAGGGGTCATTCCTGAGTGCAGAGCCAGTAGTAACCCTTGTGCATCGCTGGTGTGACCCAAAAAGCAAAAAGAAAAAAATTAATCAGAGAGAGAGAGAAAGAGAGAGCAGAAAGGTACCTGTCACAGAGGCAGGCTGGGGAGGGGAGGTGATGGGAGGGAAACGTTGGACACTGGTGCTAGGAGACACACACCGTTGCAGGGATGGGTGTTGGAATAATGTATGACTGACGCCTAATCACAAACAGCTTTGTAAGGGTCTATCTCACAGTGATTCAATTAAAATCACTTAATCACTTAACTTCCCGTTAGTCGTCGATTTGCTCGAGCGGGCGCCAGTAACGTCTCCATTTGTCCCTGTCGCGTGCTAGTGTAGCCCAATGGCATCTCTTCGCTCCGGGAACATAAAGGGCCTCAAACCGATCGTTCATGATCTTGACGAAGAAGTCTGACCATCTGGTAGGTGGGCGGCCACGCGGTCTCTTGACATCCCGTGGAATCCAATCAGTAACAGCTCTAGTCCAACGGTCGTCTTTAAATCTCATTACGTGACCAGCCCATCTGATTTTCGACACCTTGGCAAATGAGACAGCGTCCCTGATCCTTGATCGTCGACGGATGTCAGAACTCCGGATTCGTTCTCTCATTTGAGTGAAACGTGATATTCCAAGCATAGCTCTTTCTATTCTTCTTTGGGAGACCTGAATGGCATTCTCATCTTGTTTGCGTAGGGCCCAGGTCTCTGAGGCATATGTTAATGCAGGAAGAACAGTGGAATCGAAGGGATGTGCCCGGAGCCGGAGGTTCTTTATCCTCTTAGCTATTTCTTCGACGTTCTTGAAGGCGTTCCAAGCCGCTCTCTTCCTCCTGCGCAGCTCGGGTGCCAGGTCATTTGTCATGTTGACCTCTCGACCTAGGTAGACATAGCTGTTGCATTCGGAGATGGTCGTTCCATTGAGAGCGAATGGGGCGTCAGGAACAAGGCTGTTTCTCATAAACATTGTCTTCGTAAGATTCAGCTGTAGTCCTACCTTTCCACACTCACGGTCAAAGTCGGCCAGCATTTGTGCCGCTTGGCTGACGTTTGGTGTTATTAAAACAATATCATCAGCAAGGCGGAGGTGGTGTAATTGCCGACCATCTATCTTCACTCCCATTCCTTCCCATTCCAGTCGTCGCATGATGTTCTCGAGGGTGGCACTGAAGAGTTTCGGTGAAATGGTATCACCCTGCCGCACCCCTCTCTTGACATCAACGATCACTTCTTTGTAGAATGGTGAGATCCTGGTAGTGAATCCGCAATACAGCTCACGGAGGATCCTGATGTATTGGTCTTGAATGCCCTGATTGGCTAGGGCTTCAATGACCGCTTCCGTCTCAACAGAATCAAAGGCCTTCTTTAAATCAATGAACATTAAGCAGAGCGGCATCTTGAACTCCCGAGAAACCTCAATGAGCTTGGTTACCGTGTGGATATGGTCGATGGTGCTGAATCCTTTGCGGAACCCTGCTTGCTCGCATGGTTGTCCTTCATCTAATGTTCTGCCAATCCTATTCAGGATGACTCGAGTGAACAACTTGTAGATGACAGACAATAGGCAGATCGGGCGATAGTTGCCAATGTCATGGATGTCTCCCTTCTTGAACAGTAGTACGGTCCTGCTGGTTTTCCATTGGGACGGAACCTTGCATTCAGACAGGTAGCGAGTGAAGAGCCGAGCCAGTGTATTGATGAGTACTGACGGCAGGTTCTTCAGGTGTTCAGGTCTGACCTTGTCTGGGCCGGGTGCTGTTTGTTTCTTTACCGACGAAATGGCGTGTCGGATTTCGGAGGGAAGAACGTTGGGAACAACATACCCATCCTGTGGAATTTGGTATGTTGGCAAGTGGACATGGCTATCGAAGAGATTTGAGTAGAAGTCATGGATAATCTTCTCCATTGCCGTTCTGGAGGATGTGATGGATCCATCAGGACGTCGGAGGGCAGTCATCTTGGTCTTACAGTTGGCGAAGGACAGGCGGGCCTTACGAATACTTTTCCCGGCTTCTGCCGCATCTACCAGTACTTCTGCTCTTCTCTCTTTGAGGTCTTCCTTGATCGCATCTCTGCACTGCTTTGCAAGCTCGGACGTTAGCTTGCGGTTGCCTGAGGCATGCGCCAAACCACGCTGGCGAATTAGCTCAAGAGTTTTCGAAGATAGGCGACTTTTTGTGGCTATCTCTCTCTTGGCGTTCCTCGCACATTCATGGAG